CGGTAACTTGTAAGCCGAGGTTAAATTGGGAAATACAGCACTAAACCAGTTGTCTGTATTAACCACAATCGCCAATTGACTAAAGTTGGCTCACATCTTTTAAATAAAGGGTTTTAAAGAGCAGGTGCCATTGGTTCCCTTGGTTTATAAGAGGGAGGTGGTTCTTGATAAGAGACAGACTTGGTTAAAGTTATTCGCCAAGTTTTTTAATAAGGTCTTTTTTTAAATCGGCTGCTAAAGTTTCCGCTTTTGCTTGCACTTGGCAGTCAAATTCTTCTGTGCTCATCGTCTTGGTTTCTTGTAACTTTGTTGTTGTGTTGGAATGTATCTTTTCCTTCATCTTGTTAAATTTCTTAAGTTCTGACAAAATCAAAACAAACTCTTCTTGAGACACGTCGCCGTCTTCGATAGCGTGAGAGACGTATTCCTCGATAGTGTTTTGATTTGATTTGATCATGCTTTTTGGTTTAGTGAGCCAATCTGGGGTACTTTAGTAAAGCGTATGCCAGGGTTGGAAAGTCACGACGGCCACTGCCGTCGATACCCTTTTACTTGCCTTGATGCCCCTCAGAAAATTGCATTGTCCACGGCCACTTTTGCTGTGCCCTATGCATACTTTGGCCATTGTGCCTTTTCCAGTGAGTTGTAAAAATAATTAAAAATAAATTCAGCCCAGCGCTAGCACTCGCCGGCCGTACTGGTTGGTGAGACCATACCACGAGTGATCGGGCTTGTACAGCCCACATGGTATATGGCATATAAAATTTCTTAAGCAGCGAGCTATTACTATAGTTATGCGCAACCCCAGCATTACAGGCCAAGCCACGTGTGCGCTACATGGACTGTCCAGAGGGGATAGCGTTGACTGTTCAACTTCATGTAGAAATGAACATTGTGCATGCTAGCAAGCACAGACCCGCACCCCTTACGGATTGCTAAGCGCGGTGTCCCATAATGCATTGCTGCATATACCACTACTGCACACTTTCGCATCAATCCGCTGCACGTGCGCAAGCACAAGCCTGTACCCCTACGGATACGTGTAGCTAATCGGAGTGTCCCATAATGCATTGTTGCTTATACATGTACCACCAATGCACTCCGTATTGATCTGCATCACGTATAGTACGTGCTTCAAGGGACGCAGACCAGCCACGTGGAATCAAAGTTTTCCTATGGGTACTGGCCCGCTGTCAGTTTGTACGACACGCGACAATGCCTCAGAAAGAATGTTTGAAACGTTCCTTTCAAAAGGAGCTCTGCAACTCGGCTACAAAATGCAAGAAATTTGATTTTTTAATGCATGGGTAAGTGGTGGTGTCACCGTGTGTAGCTCCGAGATTGGCAGTGTTGACGGCACCATGATTTCCCGAAATCTGTGCCGGGTGAAGATGCGGCCACACCAGCAATGCAGGCATCCAAATATATCTCCCACCCGCATTGCTGGCAACAAACAAAAGTAAAGGGTAAAAAAAAGTAAAAGGGCAGCAGAACTTGTTAACCCTTAACCCTTATTGCTCTTGTTTTCATGTCAGGGTGGGAAGCCTAAGGGGACGTCAGGGTTCTTGGATACAGTGTAGATTATTTAGCTGGTAACTTGAAAGTCTAAAAGTCAACAAAAGGGATGTGCACACATTTTCAAGTGTTGGGAAAATTTTTTAATTAATTTGACAATCATATATGTGCAACTTATGCCCTGTTCATAGAGTATAACAATTCCTGGTGTTTGTCAACTTTTTTCCACAGTAAAGCAAAAGAATGCATTTTAGAGGTTGAACAGATTGTGTTTTGACAAATTTGCCTTTGGGCCCTTATCAATTTTTGACAATGGCCTCCATGCCCTTTTAAGTGGCCTTTGTGCTCCTGGAAATTTTGACTTCTCCAAGGCCAAAATGGCCTAGGCCCCTAAAAAACGAATTTCGAACCCTGGTATGCTCCAAACTCGTCGATAGCAATACCTTCCATCACTAGCCCAATGGGTGCGGTGATGGCCCCAATAAAGCAGGAATACCTATGGCTGCTGAAGTGGCACCCACTGCTTCGACTCCATATTCTATGTAATCTAACTCGGTGAGCACCCGTTTGATCTTGTTGTAAGAAGTCTCATGTGCGTCACGCTCTCGTAAGATTTGCCCATGGATGTCTTCGATCTTGGAGGTGGTAGATTTTAGTTGCCTCTGATTCATCTTGTAAATCCAACTTTGGGTACATGTTTGTAATCATGACTTTTATTTTAAATATATGCGGTTTTATGTTTGCGCGGTTAAAACATTTAGTTTGTTAATAAATCCATTGTTTCAATTTTGCAATAGGTTTCCTGGCTCGGTCTTGGCGTAAAAGATCAATTCATCGATATTTCTGATTTTTAGCTTTCTCGGCATTTCAAAATCGATCTTTTGTTTACGTGAAGATGTGTCTTTTTCGATTTTTACATATGCTGATTTGGGAGGTTTTTCGTTATATAAACCATACAACTCTCTTGTAAACGGCAATAGGTAATAACCATCCATTGTTTTAAAAATGTTTATTTTAAGGACGTTAAAAAAACCCTCGCTATCACAAGGATAACAAGGTCCAACTTACATGTTTAAACTTTAAACCTTAACTACTCTGAGTCGCTTTCAGATCCCAATAACGATTGCAATGCTGTTTTATCCAAAATGACATTGCATTTATTAATCTTTAAAACAACCTTTTCGTTTCGATGCCTAACACTAGCACCGCAAGGTAATGATCCATGTGTGCTGTAGTGTACATCTTTGGGACAAATCAAAGAAACCACATCACAAAGTTTACCAATATATACCGAGTTTATCTTGCATTATTTGTTTTTCATGTTGGTCAAACAACAAAGTTGCATTATGTAACTTAACGTACATGCGCGTCTTGTCGGTGTACCCAGGTTTAACCACATATTCAACTTTGTCCAATTCATTCAAGTAGTCTAAATCGTGACTGACTTTGTAAGCGTTAAGTATATTTGGCGGAATCTTTGACTTTTTGTTCGTTTGCGTACGGATGTATTTATAAGCCGCAAAGTTGATGTGATCGAGAATAGCTATCGTAGGGTCTTCAAGTTGATAGCAGATTTGTTGTCCAGTGATATTTTCAGGAGTTTTGTCTTTGATAACATATTTTAGGGTAGCTACACGTATCTGTAAGGGTACGGGTTTGTGCTTGCGCACGTGCAGTGGATCAATGCGAAAGTGTGCAATAGCGGTATATGCAGCAATGCATTATGGGACACTGCGCTTTGCAATCCGTAAGGGGTGCGGGTCTGTGCTTGCTAGCACACACAATGTTCATCGCTACATGAAGTTGAACAGTCAACGCTACCCCCTCTAGACAGTCTATGTTGCGCACACGTGGCTTGGCCTGTAACGTAGGGGGTGCGCAAAACTATAGTAACAGCTCGCTGCTAGTGCTGGGCTGAATTTATTGTTAATTATTTTGACAACTCACTGGAAAGGGCACAACGGCCAAAGTATGCATAGGGCACAGCAAAAGTGGCCGTGGACAATGCAATTTTCTGAGGGGCATCAAGGCAAGTAAAAGGGCATCACGGCAGTGGCCGTCGTGACTTTGGAACCCTGATATTTATAGACATGATTTACGCCGTAGCAGAATGTTTTTGAAAGCATAATCAACAAACATTTTTCTTGACGTGATTATAAAAAATAGGCGAGCAGTGTTGCGTATGTTTGTCGCTCTTTTTAACTACAGGATCTGCTATTACAAGTCTGTCAGGTTCAAAAGGTCCACATACAACGTTTTATTCTGCATTGTGGGCATTGAGACGTTCATAGTCGTCTGTTACGATGTAAGTTTAGTTTAACATGGTTCTGGTTTTATAATATAAGTGACGATATTTTTCATTTTTTCTAACAACCAAAATCAAATGCCTGGCCTATTATCCCTGGTTAGATTTCACCACTGAGCGTGCCTCTAATTCTGACTACGGCACTGAGATTTGGTCACCCGGGTTAGATTTCATCGGTGACTAGTTTTGCGAGGTCAAAGGCAGGGGTCGGATAGGTATACAGGGGAACCTTTTTTTGGTTTTTGGATAGGGTTGGAAGTGGAGGTCCTGTGTAGGTAGGGGGATAGGGGGTCAAGTAGGTATAGGAGAGGAAAGTTGGTCTCTTACTCTAACGCCTTCTACTTCATGATCCATAAAATAGTATAGGTACATGCACAGTTTCAACATTGACCCTTACTGGGGAAAACATACTAGTAATTGACTGATCATGGTTCAAGTTTTATCTTAAATAAAGAAAAGATTAATCACGAAACAGCATTTAACTATATATAACGGTTTGCCCAACCCAACGTACGGGCAAAACGTCATATATAATTAACATCTCCCCAACGCAAAAAAAAAAAAAAAAAATACATCTTGGAAACAGCATTTATCAAATTTATGGGTCCCGATTCCTCTTTATCACAGAAGACAAAAGCATTCCCTACATTCACCATGCATCTGTTGAAGAAGAATATGTAACAGCTTTTGCTCAATATGTACATGTACAAGCAGATGGCATTTACGGTCCACTTCTTTCACTGTACACGAAAGCAAGTGTGAAACCCCGAGGTGTTGCACGTGCGTTGGGACTTTCCACCAGGAAAGCTGGTTGCTGCAAAATGAGGATTTGGTTTTCCCTCCACCCACCCCACCTACTAACACTATTGCTTGGCCATTTTGGTGGATGAACAAATAACAAATATTTGCAGTTGTAAACGTTAATTAAGATGAGCAATGCTGAATTACATTTGATGTTGTAGGATGTTTTGTAATTATTCAAATGACAGAAGAAATATGTAAGGGTTAATTTGACAACTTTATATTCCAGAAACATAGTTTAAATTTAATTTTATTTAATTGTAAATGTTTAATTTATTTATACAAATTAAATAAAAACTGTGGTTTCCTAACCTCAAAACATCAAATTGACTCAGAACTCATTGACTCAGAAACCCATAAATTGTCTTTATCCCTTCAGGTGATCAGCCTGGAGCTGATTTAGGCCCTCTAATATCACCGGTTGCTAAGGATAGGGTTTGTGACTTGGTACAGTCAGGAATTGAAGAAGGAGCTACTGTGTTGCTGGATGGGCGAGACATCAAAGTACCTGGCTATGAGAAGGGAAACTTTGTTGGGCCAACTCTCCTGTCAGATGTCAAGGTAAGTTGGGTGGGATTCACTCGGGTAGGAGATTTAATTGGTTTGGATAAACATAGTATGTAAAATGTGTCCAAAGCCAACCTGGCTTGTTAGTCTGGTATTTATTTCCAAGTTCCTTTGGCTCTAAAAAAAATCTGAGAATTCCCCTACACCCCGCTGCAGCTAGTAATGCACTCATTTATACTCATGGGTAGATGAAGTACAACTTGATGTACAGTGAAGTGACTTGCGAAGACTACTACAACGCAAGTCACAGACTTAAACCACAATGCCACTTTCACCAGTTTTCCTGGGCTCTTGCAAAAACAACACGGCAACACACCGATTTGAATTATGTACAAAATATACACCTAATTTTATTCAAAGTAATATACTCAATTTGGAACTGTGGGGAAATCTCTACTTGTGGAATAGTCTGAGTCTCCTAAAAATGCCTCAAATAGTTCAGTGCACTGTACCTGAGCTGTGAGTATTTAAATATTAGTGAATCACTTCCACTAATTACAAATCTGAAAAGTTAAAACCAACCAGTTTCTATTTTATACTGTTAAACTCCTCCAATCAATGGAAGATGCTTAATTCAATCAATATCAGCGATTCAAATCCATTAATTCACAACATATACAGTTGTCAGCAATATGTTTAACTTTTCCTAAATTTCAAAAGCAGTCTAAAATTCTGATCAACAGGTCAAACCTCTAATTCAGCATTCTATCAATTAACCTTCTCAATACTCAATCCAGTCATATGTGACAGTACAAAAGTCAAAGATGCACGAAAGTAGAATAGTGTCAATTTCCAAGCAAAACGAAACCTTTCATAAGTGTAACAATTAATGCCAAAATTGTGTCACCATATCACTTGTTAATTAACATCAAAGTGAAACCAGTACATGTACATCAATCAGTAAACAGTTCATTTAAAGATGTGCAACAATGCAAATAGGTGCACAAATATCAAGAATCAAATACTGCACATTTTCCATGGAAATGACCAACTCGGTGAAATTATAAAAAATTATTAGGAATTTAGTACAATAATAAATGAAGGATTTATGGGAGATTAGGAAGCTTTGTCACAGCTGCGGCAGATTCCACCAACACCCATCATCCAAGTCACAGGAGCAAAGACAGTCACAGGACAGGACGACACTGCAGAGAACCATCAGGCTCCAGGAAGGACTGCAGGTTGTGGAACAGGCTGCACTTGGAATGTGGAACAGTAAATGCGGAACTGCTCTCAGGCCTCACAAGCAGGGTCCCAAGGACATCAGTGCTTCGCAGACCATATACTTCAACATATAAAGACCATCTAGAATGGAAAATAACCAAACTACTCCATACCAGAAAACAGATACAGCTTCCAAAATCATATTCTTTTAGTGTTGGCAAAAATTAATCAAGTTCCACATAATTTCATCCAAGCAATTCAATGTAAAGAAATCACAGAGTGTAACTTGCGACTGCTGTTGTCACGCCGACTTATGCTTGTCCGAGCCACGCCCTAGACTTTACAGAGCCGAAAATCATCTGAGCTGATAGCCAAGGGATGGCACAAGCTAACCAAAATGGCTATGTCAGCATGAACTCAAAACACCGTGTTCCTTCTACTGCAACATGTAGCAAATTTCAGCTACGCCCACTTCCCTCCAACCTTACTGTATATACACACATCTACATTCAATAAATACTAAGGATGCAGTCATGCATGCCCGTGCATTCTACTATAAGACCGGAGGGCTAAACAAAAGATAGAATTTGGGTTAAACTAGGATTACTGTGACCAACAGCAACCATGGTCCTAAAAGAGAAGGAACTCAAGAAAAAGAAAATATTTAGTCCATCTAATTCAGCTGTGACAGCCACACTGCCAATTGAAGTGACTTGCAAAGACTACACATGTACATGTACTTTACCAGCCAGTGTCTGGATTTGAACTCTGAACCTTTTAGACACAAGTCACAGACCTTAACCATGATGCCACACTGCCAGGTCACATTCACTGAAATCTGCATGATTTTTTTGTCTCTCCGGTAGAGTACAATTCAATCCAGTTAACTGGGTGATACAGTAACATGTTAAATCTGTCATAAGTTCTTAACTGCACTTAAAGCAGTTAACTTGAAATGATGACACATTTACTCTTTGTTTCCCTCACAACCAGCCAAACATGAAATGCTACAAGGAGGAGATCTTTGGCCCAGTGCTGTTGATTATTACAGTGAATACCATGGATGAAGCCATTGATCTGATCAATAAGAACATGTATGGCAATGGTACTGCCATCTTTACCACCAATGGGGCCACTGCTAGGCAGTATACAGAAAGGATTGATGTGGGTCAGGTAAGACATCTTCAAATAGATTTTTGAAGTTTGTTGAGTTTTGATGTCAAGAAGATTGCATGCTGAATTTGTTTTAAATCTTGTTGAGCAATTTAAGCAAGCAAGTAAATTCTACTTGATACAAACTTATGTACAAGTGCCCCTTGAATTACATTTTATGATTTACTATTCAAGCCATGCATCATTTTTTGTACCTGAGCATTTCTTGGAAAAAGATGTATCTTTTTAATTTTGCTTTTACCATTTTCAAAATGTACCTGTATAAGGACTTCTGTGGATTTTTATAAAGCCTCTCAACAGAACCACACTATCTACTCTGCATACCTTTCTTTCATATCTTCATTTGGCTGTATTTGCTCTATACAAGAAGCTTATTGGACACCTATATCTGATCCCTATGTTACCCCCTTAGTACTTGATGTATACATATGCTACAGGGTTTTCAGTTGGCTTTCTTGTATTATATTAAAAGTCATTGCTGTAGTCTTTACAGTTATACTGAAAAGTTTTATGGTACTGGTATCAAAGGTCAGAATTGGGAAATGTGTTGGAATGGCACATAACCCCATGCAGTGTCATTAGTGTGTCTAGGGAACTGTAGAATGCGGACTTTCATCCATGACAAATCCTCGAAGGCTTCATGCTGACATCCATCAGTCTTTATTCATGTACAGCACATATATGTACATGTGTATCTTTATCAAATTGAGTCCAGGGTGAAAAGCTAAAATGAATGTGTTTCTGTCTTAGATATCTGGCAAAACTGATTATCAGTAGTTTCTCCTGCGATGTTTTATTTTTCTCCCAAGTGTTTATGTCATGATTGCAGAGTTTTAAGGCACCACTGGTTCACAGTATGCCAGTCAGGCATTTCCATTTTAACAATTTCGCAGTCAGTAGTCCTACAATTTGTGATACATGCACATGAGTTGTATCATATTTTTACACTTTATTACATGTACATACCCCCAGGATGTAATTGTATGCCGTAGAGAATATGTGAAGAATATTCAAGCAAGTCATGTTCAAACCTTTCATGGATTCCTGTGTATAAAGATCCTTTTACCAGAGAGCATCTTGAATCAGATTAGTAAAGGGATCTGGATTGTTTGTATCAACAGTAGGCACAGGCTGTGTTTATAATAAGCTGGCCTACTTCCTGCTAGAAATTGATTGATGGTAAGATGTATGAAAGGGATCCTATGAATATAAACATTCCCTTTGGCACAGGGCTGAAAAGAAATCAACTACATGTAGCAAGTTTCTTGGCACTGGTGAAATTCCCCAGTTTATTTGGAAGCCCTCTCCTCAAGCAGAGATTGTATCATTCAAACACAACATTTATTCCTATATCTTGTAAATATTATTCCGACATACAGTGTACATGTACATATACAGTGTATTTCCGCACACTCAATATCGTATCATGCAGGATACTCACTATGTTCCTCCTTTTGAAAGAATTGTTCATTTTTTACTGGCTGTACATGTATGTATTGTATACATGCATGCTCTATATATACAATGTAAGGTACCATATTTGTATCTTTAATGTACATGTACATCATGGTCCACTGGGTTTAGAGGCATAAAATGTTGGCTACGTTAGCATTGTCTTACATGCACGTATTGTTTTGACAGTATTTGTTTTTATGGATTCATACTTCAGTGGAAATTTGAGACTAGTGATATGGAGAGGGCTCTGTAGTCTGGATGTACATGTACCATACACACACATGCACAAGTATATGTAAATTTGAAGCAGAAAGTCATTGGTTCTACCACAGCTTCTCACACTAAACAGAGTTTTATCAAGTTGAATTAAAAATGTAGAAAGGTTGAAGTAAATTTGAATGCTAAGAAAACCGGTACATATAAATTTGAAATGGTTTGAATAAATTTCATAGAAGCTTGAGATAGACAAAGATCAGATAGGATCAAGGAAGGAGTGGATAATCTACATGTACAGACAGTACAGTACACATTTTTCCAGTCATAAATTTGAGCTTTTACATGCACTTCAGATGGACATGGACGTGCAGTTGTTGTCTTGACCCTTTTTCCAGGAGACAGTATTTTATTTGGTTTTTTTCTACGTGGATAGGCCTCCCTTATGTGTACAGTGCTTGCCTTGCTGGAAGTTTGCTTTGCTCCCTAGACCAACACTGTGCTTGTTTTTATTAGAATTTGTGGAGAAGGAAATCAGACGCCTTACTGCTGCTAGTGGTTTAGGAATGATGGATTAGATCCTGCAACATGTGATTCTGTCCTAAGATAAAAAAGGAGATGGAATGTGAATTTAGTATTCCCTTTGGCAATTCACCAAGGGCTATTGGAAGTGAATTTAATCCAAGAACAACATGAAGTTCAAAGATGACAAGGAACAAAATGTTTGGCCAGCCAAGTGAAAACTCTAGAGAATAAAGCTGAGAAATCAGTATTTGTGGGTTAAAGAAGTACTGTACATACTGTATGTACTGTAAATGGACAGATAACCCAGTCCTATCCTGACGCAGAATTTGAACCCAGGTCATGAGGGATGTATAAAAAAAGGCAGGGAAAGATTTCCCTTGCCTGATCACTGCCTCATTTAAGGTTCATTAATCTTTGGACTGTGCATACACACATCTACATGTACATGTATTTCATTTGAATTGATATACATGTACCGGTAGTCCTATTGATAAATGCCAGTCTTGCTAGAGTTTGCAGTCATTACCATTTTATGATTGAGAGCCTTTCACCTTGCTGTAAGTTGCAGGTTAAGGAGCCTCCTGAATAATCCTCAATCCTCATTTACCAATTTTTTATACATGTTGTAAGGTACTTACCAATTTTTGAGGGATCATTAGATCTCTGGTGGCTTGTCTCTCCTCTTTCATCCACATTCTGTACACCCCCTGAGACATGTCAAAGGATTTGTGATTGTTCCCTCAAAGCACCTCAAGGTTTGAAAGATTCTGTAAGATTCAGTAAGGCACAAACTAGTAACTGTTTAAATTGTAAGCTCAGTACTGAAATTCTCTTGAAGTTGCATTTTAAATGATGTGACTCTTTATGTACAGTAAAGTACAATCATTTTGGTTTAACAGTTTTTATGTCTGACTTTCCTTATCCATAACAGATTGGGATCAATGTCCCTATCCCAGTCCCCCTTCCAATGTTTTCCTTCACTGGTTCCCGTGGTTCCTTCAGAGGGGATACCAATTTCTACGGCAAGCAAGGCATTCAGTTTTATACCCAGCTGAAGACAGTAACCCAGCTATGGAAGGCAGAGGATGTAACACATACCAGGGCAGCTGTGGCTATGCCTGTCATGAAGTAGACAACGGAAGAAGATCAGGAATCCTACAGATTTTAAAGATTGAGGTGAGAATAAGTATAGATGATTACTTTTTATTTGAATTATAATGGAAACTTGAATTGTTACGGACTCTTATATCATGTTAATGTATAATCTTTTTGGTTTCAAACATCAGTGCTTTGCTCTCCAGCATGTGTCATTGCTTTGCAGATTTCGTTTTTCCATTCAATTTCAACTAAAAGCATTTAGTTTACAGTAAAAATAATTAACATTGCAATGGCCATAAGAATTAGTAAGTAATAAAATATTAACAAATATGACATTAAAGATGCCTAACAGTATAAATAAGAAAATGAACAATTATGATTAAGTTTAAACTAAGATAATTTTGATACTCTAGTATAAACTGAAAAACACACACAAAACCACAGTTATTGTGATTAATGAGATTGAATGAGAGTGAGCATTAGGAGACTCTTTGTGTGTTGATACATGTATGAAACATTTTGATATGATTCAAATTCCTGAGATTACATTTGGTAAGAGAACATCTCGGATTGTGAAGCATGTGACGATTTCCAGAGATCAGCAAGTTAATGGCATATTGAGTGCCAAGGTCAACACGTCTGTCTGACAGTGATTGGATGTTGAAGAAATTGAGACTATTAGGATATGGCAACGGATTTAGTTGAGAAAGTACATGTATATGGAGGGCTTGCTTCTCAATTCTTTCAATAGTTTGAGCTTGATTTAAAGGCAGTGTACATGTACATGATTTTAAATCTCAAAAATGGGACTGTCAAATTATAGCATCTTTAAATAGTTTACTGTAAAGTAAGTACCGGTAAATGATAGTGTCAGACAATCTGTGAAATTTTCCAATGCAGAAAGCTGTCATTTTTGAGTAAAGAAAAATTTAGTACTTTTTCCAATGGTTGTCCAGAGGAATGATCTTCGGGTAAATACAATTCAATTACATATGAGTAGTACATGTAGCATTACAACCTACAACCATCAATGGGCGCTTGATAATGTGTGTTTAGCTGTAAGAGAAATCTATATTAACAGGTGAAAATAAACATGCCAACATTCCTTCAATACACCCAAGCACATTATCACACATTATCAACTGATAAAACAGATAAAGTGTACTGAGCCAGTTCGGTATTTCACAAAGGCAAGGTTCTTTTGGGAACAAATCATGAGGCAGCGCATGGCTGTACTGATTGGGCGGACAATTGTGCACTTGTGTTGCTGTTCCCAGATGACCTTGGATTCTCTTCAGATCAGACATGCAATGCTGGTATACGGAACTGGCTCATTAACCCCTAACCCGCAAGGGCCTTTTTACTAGGGCACATCCTCAATCTTCCAAAATCCTCCAATTGCCCAACTACAAAAATTGCATTCATATTCAATCCTCCAAAATCCTCCATTTATGGCTTATGCACAGAATGAAAGGTACCTGAGTCCTAAATCCTCCAAAATCCTGTGTGGCCCTACTTTGATTTTGTGGGGGGGGTGGGCACATCTGGGCTTGCTGGGCTGAAGGTTTGTTTTTGTTGAGGTTTTTTTGGCAGAGTTGCTAACAGCTAAATTTTTGTCGTAAACACAGCGGACTTGTGCCTTTGTTTTTTTTGCAGTTGAGAATTGTGTAATTTATGACCAGCAGCAGTGAACAATGCAACACACTGTCCTTGGGTACAAGTACATGTATATTGTAAACAGTAGAATAAGTGACCAGATGTACCACTATGTGACTGATTTTAAGTATTTTTAGTTTAGATGTTCATCCTCAATCCTCCCAAATCCTCCAGCTTTTAACCCTAACTCCCTAGGCCCTTTTTGCTAGAGACCCTCCTCAATCCTCCAGATTCCTCCAATTTGGGGGGTTAAAAATTAGATTCTCCCTCAATCCTCTGAAATCCTCCAAATTTCTTTAAAATCTTATTTGGAGGTGTGCCAGCTGCCTCAATCCTTCAAAATCCTCCAGCAATTCCTGTCATTATGTTGAGGCAGAGCAAATGGCATTCTTGAGCAGTGCAGTTGATTCAAAAGAAATATCAGGCTGAATTTATGCATGACTGAGCATGAACAACACAAGGTCTAACCTGTGACCTGGCATCCTTCACAAGGCATGTACTTTTGCCATTCACCCTTAATCCTCCAAAATCCTCCAAAACTGCCCAAAGGATTTTGGAGGATTGAGGAAGGTTAGGGTTTTAAAGGCTTGAGGATTTTGCAAGATTGAGGATGAACGCTGATTTAACACCATTCATCCTTAATCTTCCAAAATCTTCCATGCTTCAATCACCATTCATCCTTTATCTCCCAGAATCCTCCATGGTTCAAATCATCAG